GTACGGTGAGTGGTGTTATTTTTAAGCCCAAATCAATTAAATTTAAATATATTTTATTTTATTCCAAAATTAACCTTCTCTTGATCCTTTTTAACTTCGCTACTTTCCTAATCTTTTTAATTTGTCTTCTTTCTTAATCCCTTTTAACTTCCCTTTTATTTAATCATGATTGATAAACAATAAAATAAACAACCGACTTGTTAAACAAATCTTGTATTTTTTTCCTTTTTTATTTGCTTATTTTTTGGAAGTGAATGAAATTTTACTCGAATATATCGTAAAACCTCTCTATAGTGATACTCTATATAAGAGTAAACTCTATCTAATCATAAAAAAATTTATTCCTAACTTGAGATAGTTATAATAAGAATAAACTCTACATTGTAATAAGTTATAATTTTTCTAATTCATATCTTAAGAAAAGTTGTCTCCACATAGTAATAATTATATGTATATTGCAAAAAAATATATTATTTGTTACATTAAATGTTTAAAATGAAATAAAATATTTATTTAAAGTTGTTTGAGTGAATGATTTATACTTTAGATTTGTTACTACATCTTTTAACTTGCGGATACATTACCTATTAGTATGGACATATTTTTGTTAAAACCAAAATATTTGTAGCTTCTCAAGCATGTTGGAGCTTATTGGCATGAAACTTTTTGTGTTTCCGTACTATCATCCTTATAATTTTTTCTTTTCTCTTCTTGTGTAATTGTAGTAATGATTTCTTCTTCAGTTAAAGGATACATGACTTATTGCTCATTTGAATAATTGAGGAAGACATTAATATCCATTTGATTAGTGTAGTGAAGTTATCAAATCTGATCACTCAATTCTATAATGACTTTTTTATTCTTCTCATCCACTTTATTTATAATTTGCAATTCATCGACATCAGTGGTCCTAATTTTATAATGCTTAAAACAATTAACAATTGTTTGTGACTTCACATCAGTTTAACCATGTGGCAATTGTATTTACAATTCCATCAAGAACACTTATCTTTATTGGTTTCAAAATACGATCTTCTACTTGTTTAAAAAGTAGGCAATTGAAACGTTGAATTGAAATCTTAATACTATTTAAACATAAATTGAAATTCTAATAATATACTGCTAAAACATGAATTATAAAATAATTTTTTTTTTTTTGTAACTACGCCTCTATTAAATTATAATTTTCTTATAATAATAAAATTAATCAATCTCACCATTATAACTATAGAGATATTTTACTGTATTTGTGATTGGAAAAAAAGTTACGAAAACCCTTACAATCAAACAAAACATCCCACCACGAATTATGACAAAGAAATATTCTTTTCAATCTTGTTTTGATTTGTTTTTATGAGGTTTCTGTATTTGTTTCTAACTCATGAATTTTTTGTAATAGCTTGAGGTTACATATTGTTAAAGGTTTGCAAAAATTATTTGGGAAACATCCTAAATCAGTTAATATTTTAAACTTTTAGTATATGGTAGGTGTAAGTGTTTTTTGTTAGATTAATATATTTTTTTATAAATTTACTTTAGAAAATGATACCCTTAAACAAAATTAATTAATAAATATATTATATGTTATTGCTTCCATAGTAATAGTATACTCATTATAAACGTTGCATCACACATTGAAATAAACGTCCCTTCCTTATTGCTTTAATTGTCTCTATGAAGCCCATGGTTCTTCAATCATGCAAAACATTTAATACTTGAATATTTGAAATTTAAATAGTTAAATAGTGTTTTTGATTATTTGAAAAATAGTTAAAATACATAGGATAATCTTGGGTGCGTTTGGTTTATTATTTTGGATAGGATTTTGGAGATAGTATTGGGTTATTGGATAGGGGAGTATTACAACGTAAACTTTAAAAATTTATGAAAAAGCCCTTAGGTTTACTAATGTAATTAAAGACCCTAATACATAAAATGACAAAAACAGCCCCACCACCTATAGTGCCAGATTCCGGCCACCACTGTCGGAATCTGGCCGAAAAATTTCGTTACGACACAGATCGATCGGATCTGTGCCGTAACGCGTCGTTATGACCTTTTCCAGCCAGATCCACCACGGATCTGGCCGGAAAAGGCCAGATCTAGCCATTACCGGCTATTTTCGGTGGCTGTGTGACTATTGTGATAGATTTCGGCTACCATCGGTTTTGGTTACTGGAATCTGGCAAGTAGTGGTGGGTGGGGGTGTTTTTGTTAGTTTTTAAACTTTTTTCTGGGAGGTATTTAATACAATTAATAAACTTATAGGGTCTCAACGTAATTAAAAAAAAGACTAATATTTTGGGAATAACGTGCTAAGCAACATTTGAAAAATAGGATTAGGAATATGGATAAAAACAATAAGCCAAATGCACCCTTTGATATTCATGTTTTGGTTAAAATACAATAATATGATAACTATAACAAAAAAAAAAAAAAAAAAAAAATCAGTAACATAATTGGGACGTGTTTATCACACTATTTTTATATGCATCTAATAAAATTTAATCATTTATAAATATTATTGATAGGAGATTTAGCATCAAACTGGAAATTTCTAAAATTCCATTGAAATAATTGACTTTCTATTGATGAATCCAGTAGATAACCTCCGTCGTAGAGCAATAATATCACCACAAACACATAATAGAGTCAAGTTAGTGTCCATCTCAAAAGCTGGCTAAAATCAAGTCAAGAATGAATGTGTAGGATTTTGGATAAATATTTATGTGATATGCCGTCCTTTATATAGTTGAGTGAAGTCATTGCCTTGAATTTGGCTTTCTTCTTGGTATAGGAACCCAGATGAATAATATACTTGATAAGGGCGTTTAAGTGATATAATAGTCTCCAAGATTAGGGCAGAACTTAAGATACATTATTTCTTTGATCCTCAGCCTTTGATGACAATATATCCCTTTAATGAAAGATTATAGTAATAATATGAAAGATATATTCAATAAGAAGTGTTAGGATTAGGAATATTCCATGACCTTGTCAACACCGTTATGCCATTGTTAATTTCGCGCACTACATGTTAGAAAATTATCCTATGAGCTAATGTTAATTATATGTTGTTTTAATTAAAAACAGGTAAAGGAATAGTCTACTCATATACTAATGAGTTCAATATGATCATTTAAAAGTTTTGTTCATTATATTCATTTAATTAATCTGACGACAAAGTGTGAGCTTCAAGATTTATTGAGTCTTTAATGGGAGAGTCCAATAAACTATTATTTTAATGGGATAGTCCAATAAACTATTATTAAATTGGTTAAGTCTCATTTCTAAATGCATCCAATAATTAAAACCTATTTTCGAAGTCGTCATTTAGTGTGTTATTGGAAAAAAAGAGACTTACCGTTTAATCACTTTTGGAAAATTTGCCGCTTCTCTTCTAAAGAATTAAAGAATCAAGAATCATGGCACAAACAATTTTACTATTAATTCAGTATTCTATAATTTATGTGTTGACCTTTTGAGATGTTGTTGATTATAATTAAATTCTATATATAATAAAATATTAATAAATAAAAAATACAATGATGGGGTGATGTCGATTTTATGGGAAACTTTATGCTAATATATATATATATATATATATAATTGTCCAATTTTATATTGTTTATAATATATGGGTGAGAAATGTAGTGTAGTACTGTAGTCATCATGCTTTATTAAGCTTATCATAAATAATATGATGGTGGTGTATCCTTATCACGATGACACCGGTCAACATTGTTTTATCCATTCTTACTTTGAGAAGAAAACATGACTGCATTTTGATTAATTGACAATGCGTTTATGTCATATAATATTTTATTATACGAGTATATTATATTAACGAAAAGAAAGATCAAATTAAAGATTATTGAGAATGTTTAAAAAATATATTTGGTTGACTCTAATAAATTGATAAATAATATGTTTGGTTGAGAAGATAAATAGGTATTATATAGATTACTAAATTGTCCCCCTTTTTAAATATTAATATAATAGTATTTTTTATTATTTTTTTTTGAATAATTTCTTTTAACCCTCTACATTTGAAATTTTGGTAAAATACTCTAACCATATAAAACTTTAATTTATATCAAAATCACTCCCACTCACCCCATGCCACTGCCAACAGCCAGCCACCAGCACCGGTTGCCGTTGGCAGTTGACAGAATGATGCATGACTAGTTGTATATGACCAGTCATGCGTTGACAAAGTCAGAAACAAATTCATGGCTGGAAAACAACTAGATCTATGACCATTTCATAGCCGAAGATGTGGCTGTGAAAAGGCCAGATCTTTGGTCGTGCCATTTCACGGAAAAAGATCTAGCATTTTCACAACCACATCTTTGGTTGTGAAACGGCCATAAAAATGCCAAATCTGGACGTTTTCGGTCATTAATCACAAATCTATAGTTAGAAAATGCCTTACAAGTGCACGATCGACCAGATCCCGTCGTTCGTGCACCATTACGGCGACTGACACCGGCGGTGGTGAGTCACAGTTGGCAGTGGTCTTGGGTGGTTGAGGGTATTTTATTAACTTTTAAACTTTTTATGGCTGGGGTGTTTTACCTAATTTCTTAAATATTGGGGGTTGGGTAATTGTTATTGGGTAGACATTTGAGGGCATTGTATCCAAAATAGTTTTTAATTAAGGGCAAAATAGAAGAAAAAAAATCATATTACCTCAGTAATATTTTAATAACACTCCCGAATAAGATAACAAAATTAACTCTCCACGTTACTAACAGTAAATATTATTTATAATAAAAGATTATTGTAATATTTTATTATTTATAAACACTAAAATCTTGTAAAATAAATGAAGATTATCCCGTTCCCTTATTAACCCCCATCCAAACGGCACCTCTATGTACTATTGTTAATGTTACCCTTTCTGATAATTATTGTAATAAGGTAACATTATCCCGTGAGTTGGATGGTAAATTCATTTTCATATATAAATAACCAACGAACAAAAAAACAGAAACCAAACCACCAACACAATCTTATCCATCTCTTCTCTTCATCACTTTCGCTTTCACTTCCATTTCCAATATTCTTCAAACCCATCGTCTGTTTTCATGGCTTTCATCACCCTCAAACTTTCAAGAAACATCCTTAACCAATTCAAATCATCGAAGTTGGCTTCATTTTCTCTCATCAACCATTCTTCTCTTTCTTCTCCTTCTCTAAACCATCACAACAACAGCAACAACTCTCCATCACCATCTCCACTAGGAGAAGAAAGCATTTCTTCTCCGCCAACCCTTTTCTCTGCTCGCCGGTTTGAGTCTACCAGAGCTCAAAAACACGTGAAATTTGATCACAAACAGGTTAACTTTCTTTCTTTTTTTTTTTTTTTTTTTTTTTTTAAATCAATAATTTGGAACCTTCATGCAGTTGTTCGTTTTGCAAGATAATTGCATTGACCTTTAGTATTGGCTGGATCCTGCCATTTAAACTACGAAGATAGACTCTGATTCCAATAGACCTCAACCTGCGTAAGCGTAGAAAAGATCATTCACTGGCACACACGGAAGGGTATAATGAACAATTCACTCAACCAAAAAAGGTTGTTTCAGAATTAGAATTTAGCATTTGGGAATTTGAGGGCGTAATTTCTAGTATTTGAAAGGCCAGTACTTGATATTGGACCAAAGTGCAGGGTGGATTAAGTTTTTTCTTTTGTTTTGCAAGCTGTTATGTTTAACAACTTATCTATGCTTAAATTTTGGAAATTGTACGTTCTGTTTATGAATTATATGATTCCTTTTAAACTTTTGAGTTTTGATACATGAAATTCAGAAATTATGACACATATTAGGCATAATTTTTCTTAAAAATTATGTCTTGAAGAGTGGTTGTGTGAAGTAAATGTTGTGACGCTAAACTGGAGTTTTGGATCATCAACAAATGGAGGACTCTCCAGTTGATTTCTTTCAATGTGTAATTTGGGGACCCAATTGACAAAAATTTGTAATTCACTGTAATTTATTTGCATAGTTGGGGTTAAAATTAGATGTTTTTAATGCTTTCGCCAGAATACAGTTCACCAGGATGCTGATACTGATACTGATGGATACATAATTAGTTATAGGTATTGTGATTGTGTGATTTTGTTGGAAAATGATGTAAGAGTTTACTGATACTTGATCATTTGGTTCGATTGTTTCTCGATACCTCTCACTTCTCCAATGGTGGTTTAGATGTTTAAAAGGTTAGTTAACGTTGCAATTTTTAGTGTTTTTGGCTGCAGCATCCTGTGGTCATGAATCACTATCCATTTGCTGGGAAATTTAGTTTTGTTCTTTGGAATTTAGCCTTCGCTTTGCTCTATTGCTGGAAAATGCCATGAAATCAGGCTATCATTGTAGAAGCAATTCATAAAGAGAGTTTATCATCCATTTTTCTTAGACTATCATTGTAGAAGTGACTAATTAAGAGGGATACATGTTGCACCGATGGCTTAAGGTTCAAGCAGCTAGTTTTCTATTCTTCATTTCTTTATTAATTCTTATAGTAGATTGAAGAAGACATTTGACAGGCTTATAGAAGCTACAATTATTTGATGCTGCTTCCAAAATGAACTCTAGTATGCGTAGACAGGGCATGAATTGAAATTGTTCTGCTTGTGTCCGTGCCTGCATTGATTAGTACTTTTTGATTCATACTTTCTTTGTTAGGTTCTAGATTTTCCGGGAGGAAAAGTTGCATTCATTCCTGAAATGAGGTTCATTTCTGAGTGCTTTGAGGAGCGAGTACCCTGTTACCGGGTGCTCGATGATAATGGTCAGCTTTTTATGGAGAGCAGCTATGTACAGGTATGTCTTTTTCTTTCCTCCAACGTTCTCCCATTCCCAGAAAGACAAAAAAAGGGGGTGGCCGGATGGGAGAGTCTCTTTCTTTTTCTTTTTACCCCGATTATGAATTTGATTCAGACAAAGACTCTTACATGCGTCCTGCAAATTCAATTAGGTCAGTGAGGAAGTAGCTTTGAAAATGTATAGCAATATGGTCACACTTCAAACAATGGACACTATCTTCTATGAAGCACAAAGGCAAGGAAGAATTTCATTCTATCTCACCACAATTGGAGAAGAGGCCATCAATGTTGCATCAGCAGCAGCATTATCTTTTGATGACTTCGTCTTCCCCCAGGTAATAAGCACATACATCTACTAATATCCCTGCAATCACACAGCCATGGCCACATGTTGATGCACACGTCATACATGCACACAAAGACGCAAAATTAAACATGTATATAAAATCTGGATCAGATCATCTATAGTTAATTATATAATTTTGCATCTGTTAAATTTTAATTACTCATGTAGTTCAAATCTGATTCTTGTGCAATGTTACTTTTGGATCTGCTTGCAGTACAGGGAACCGGGAGTTCTATTATGGCTTGGTTTCTCTTTGCAAGAATTTGCAAATCAATGTTTTGGAAATAAAGCTGATTATGGAAAAGGCAGGCAGATGCCTATCCATTATGGATCTAACAAGCACAATTACTTCACTGTAGCATCAACAATCGCGTAAGATTTAAACCTTATCAATATTACAAGTTTGTTACGCTAAGACTTGAAAATCGTAGCCAGTAATAATTCTTATTTTCTTCCAGAACACAAATTCCCCATGCTGTTGGTGCTGCATATTCTTTGAAGATGGATAGAAAAGATGCATGTGTAGTCACTTACTTTGGTGATGGTGGCACGAGTGAGGTAAATATGATTGGTGATAATGTTTGACCTTTCAAATGAAAGTAGCTTTCAGTTGTTTTTTTTTTTGACACACCAACATGAATTAGGGGGATTTCCATGCTGCTTTAAATTTTGCTGCGGTACTGGAGGCCCCGGTTATTTTTATCTGTCGGAACAATGGATGGGCTATCAGCACCCCAATTTCCGACCAATTTCGAAGTATTCTTCCACTTGCATTCTCATATCTTAACAATTTTGATTACATGACATTTCTGAATTTGTTATTAAATTGTCTTTGGGAAATGACAGGTGATGGTGTTGTTGTAAGAGGCCGGGCGTATGGAGTGCGAAGCATCCGTGTAGATGGTAATGATGCTCTTGCAATGTATAGTGCAGTTCGTGCTGCACGTGAAGTGGCAATTCAGGAGCACAGACCAATCCTAATTGAGGTATTATATGTCTTTATATTGTTTCTCAAGCTTTATGAGAGGCATAGTATTGAAACCCAGGTGACTGATTCCTGATGTTTGGTTCAATCCCTTGCACTGGCAGGCTCTATCATATCGAGCAGGACACCACTCCACTTCAGATGATTCCACCAAGTATCGCCCAGTTGATGAGATTGAATGGTGGAGAACTGCACAAGACCCCGTAACTAGACTTCGAAAATGGATACAAAGCAATGGTTGGTGGAGTGATGAGAATGAATCAGAGCTTAGAAGCAACACGAGGAAACAGGTAAAATTAGTGTTAGCTTCAAAAATAGAATTACTCAAACTTTCATATTAGCGGTTGTAAAAGTTAGGAGTGACAAAGAAGCTAAACACAAAAAAATAATCAATACATAAATGGCTTCATCTGTTTTGACAATCCTTTAGAATTCTGGTTAGATATTTGTGCTGTGCTATGGTATGAAAACGTTCGCTGATTGCACTTGTTTAACAGCTATTACATGCAATTCAAGCAGCAGAGAAAGCTGATAAACCCCCAATTGCGGAACTGTTCACAGACGTATATAATGTTCCTCCTTCTAACCTTCAAGAGCAAGAGAATCGGCTAAGGGAGACTGTCAAACGACACCCAGAAGACTATCCCCCAGATGTTCCAGTTTAGGTATATTCACTGATGCATACATAATTGTACATATGGCGTATGCGTCGTAATTCAAAGCTTGAACTTTTTATTGCCTTAGTTTTAATAAAGCTAGTGCATTAATTAAGAGCCAATACAACGCTTTAAGGTTCTGCATCATATCCATTTGCTCAATCTAATGTACATAGATTCGTATTCTATCAATAGATGATGAAACCGCGCTGAGGCCAATTTCCTCAGCTCTAGTTCAACAAAGCAATTGAACTCTTGGGGCTGACTGTTATTTGAGGGTGCTTTTATCTGATAACTAGAACAAATTGATGCTTTGCAGTGATACAAATTTAGCTTCAAAGTATGGCTAGCGAAGTTGAAGATTTAGTCTAATACAGTAATATGTTATCATCCAAGTTCCATGCATGCTGATTGTGATTAATCTCCTTTTGGTTGGAATAGTTGATTGTAAATATCAGTTTGGCATTTCGTGAGTTGTCTATGCTAATAGTAATGGTACAGATTGCAACGACTCGTATAAAACAGAGTTCTGTCATTTCTAGCATGCGTTACGCACTGTGAATCAAATCGCAATCCTTATTTCGCAAGGAGAGTTTATATACGTATCATAGGTAGGTATTAATTGCTTGATTCATTGAGTCCTCTGTTTTAAAACCCAGACCGATCTACCGTTCAATCAATTCGATCGAGACCGAACAGGTGTCCGTCCGAGTTAATATAAAGCCCGGTTATATACAAAAACCACTTTGACGCTAAAAACCGGATAAAATGTGAAAACTGTCCGTCCAACCAACCGCTTGAAAACCGATTCTCTATTTCATTAAAAAAAAAAAAAAAAAAAAAAAAAAAGGCCCTAATTTTGGGTTGATTCTTTGTTAAAGTGAAGAAGAAGGGAAGGGGAAGGAAGAAGGGGCAAGTCCGATTTGGACCTTGTTTGGCTAGATTGCGAAGTAAAGTAAGGGGGAGGGGAAGGAAGAAGAAAGAGAAGAGGAGAGGAAGAGAATGAGGAAGGAAGAAGAAAGAAAAGAGGAAACGGAGAGAAAGAGGAAGGAAGAAATATAAGAGGAGAGGAAGAGACGCAATTCAAATGCATCATTGAGTATTCTTTTCAAAGCTAAACTTTTATTGTCATTGGTGCCTAAGATGCTCAAGCAGATGTAAATTGCATACAAGTATACAACTTGAAATGAAACTAGTCGTTGGCTTCACAAAATGCAAAATCAAAACCAACTACTAATCCTTAAGTTTTGGTTCGCATATTAAAAACTTCAAGACATTCACACCTGAGAATTTTGAATAAATGAATACCCCAAATGATGCCAAGAAAAAAGAAAAGTTTTTTTGTTTTAATCAATGACCTACAAACCATGTTCAAAAGATACCCTTTAAAATTGATTGGAGTTAAAACTATAACCCCACTTGGTTTTTATATTTTCAATAGTCCAAAAGAAAAAACAAAAGGAGATTTCCCTACAAATTTATTGACCCTCATAAGCCTTACTAAAGTTATGTTACTTGTAAAAAATACAACTCAGACAATGACTTATTATGGGCAAAGCATGTATCACAGGGACTCCAAAGAGAGGTAAAAGCAATTTGAGTTACCGGAAATCTTAACAAGGGAAATGCTGAAACCAATTAAGTGTCTACATACAATTACAAGGATGAAGATTGCTCCTCCAGGGACTCTTTCACTGCCTTCAAGAGTTTTGGCATCAACTTCTGATTCGTGACGATGATACCCACGTTAAGATCTAGATATTTTCCTTTCGAAAAATCCAATGGGTTCCCAGCAGCATCTGAGACGACGCCCCCTGCTTCTGCAAAAAGTTCATCAACAAGCAGATTTTACCGTAAAAAGTTAGATTGACTATGCAATTTCAATCACTATCACGACTAATACGGATGATAACATCTTGACATAAACTGGGGATATAAAGCAATACCATAGAAATGGAAACAAGCAAGTTTTGTCAAATTTTTACAGATAAATTCAGCACTCAGCGCACTCATTGACCCTTTTTCACTTTCAGATAATTAATATGAAAATGCACGTAAGAGTGATCAATTGCAATAACCAATGTTATATAATTGTTTGATAACTTCCAATCAGCTTCTATGCAACGCAAAAAAGAACAGCTATATCTCTACTAAAAACATATTATCCTAACAGTAAACCTCTGTAAGATTTACATATTGTATAAACATGTAACGTTTGAGGTCTAAACTGAAGGTAGGGTTACAACGGAAAAAGACATACTAGTATGTTGAAAGCCGATTCATAAAATGTATTGAGAAGAGAAAATGAGGTAGCTAGATTTAGTAAATGAAAAACCTTCGTTTTCTAAATTGGTGGAAATCCAAAGGGGAGTACACATCTCTAGTTGGGTGGCTTTCCACCTCAAAAACTTAGCAATTAAATATAACCCATGGCACCATCTCTTAATCCTTATCAAACTCATCATTTAAGTAATTTAATGGTGTAAGGTTTAGATTTAAAGTTTTGTTAGATTAGTGCCACTTATTAGGTGTATGACTTAAGCTAAAAAGCTATAGGATTTGAGCCACACCAGGCTCCATGGACGGTGGGTTAGGCTATGAAAAGCCCCACATCCTTTCTTTTAACAGATAGAAGAATACTCGAAATTCCAAGTTTGGTATAAAGAGTTATAATAGCAAACTTTTCTTTAGTCTCATATCTCTCCAATCTCTCACTTTAACCCATCTCTCTTTCCTTTGATTAGCTCAACCTTCTACAGTACTATTATTATTATACATCATGTTTTTTATATATATATATATATACAACCATGGGAAATAAGGTTATATTCTCTTAAGGATTTGTTTTCCATTTTTTATATCCCGTAATTCGTGCACAACCTGTTCGTTTACCAAATATATAGGGTAAAAGAACAGCTTTTTACACAAATTACAAGATATTAAAAAAAAAAAAAAATGAAAAACAGAAACTTAAACGAACACAACCTTATTTTCCATGGTCGAATGACATTTTTGTACAGTCACATCCCATATTGCTTCCGAATGGAGCCTGAAATCAATTTATAAACCTTGGGTCTTCTTAATCAAGTAGATGCATTTTGGGAAAAGGATGATTGTGCGCATGGGAAAAGGATGATTGTGTAAAGCACCAATGCAACATAGAAGACAATATCTATTGAGTTTAAGTTGAAATTTTCAAACAGTCAAACCTTTTTATAATCATAATATTAAAACTAACTAAATTTATTACTATAAAGATGTTATAACTTAATAGAAGTGTAGTTACAGAATTATTGTTTTAATTTCTTATTTTATAATTCATGTTTTAATAATATTAGGATTTCAATTCATTGTTTTAGTAGCATTAAGATAGTATGAAAATGAATATCAAAGAGTCATTACAAAATTGAGTGATCAATACGACAACTTCATTACACTAATCAAATAGATATTAATATTTTTCTTAATCATCCAAATGAGTAACAAGTTGTGTATGCTTTAACTGAAGAAGAAATCATTACTGGAATTAAACAAGAAGAGGAAGGAGACAATCCTGAAGATGAATATAGTACGGAAATATCAAAAGTTTCATGTCAAGAAGCTCTAAACATACAGCTAGAAATATTTTGGCTTTAACAAGAAAGTGTCTATGTTGACAACTTATTGCATATCCGCAAGATAAAAGATATGGTAACAACTCTAAAACATAAATAAATCATTGTTTCAAACAACTTTAGATAAATATTTTATTTCATCTCAAACATTTAATGTAACATAACATATATTTTTTTATAATATACATAAAATTATTACTATATAGAGACAAGTTCCTTAAGACGGGACCTAGAAAAATTATAATTTATTACAATGTGAAATTTATTCTTATTTATAACTAGCCCAAGTTAGAACCATAATTTTTTATGACTACATGAAGATTATTCGTATATAGAGTATCACTATAAAAAGGTTTTATTGTAATTGGTATCACAATAAGCTCGCAATCCGATGTCTATTTAGTTTAAGTCTAAACTATATAATTGGTACCACAACGGACTCGCTACCCTTGGTACCTGTGGTATGATGTGACAACTTCGAAAGGACACAATCAACCTTTGTAAGGTAAGGAGTTTGTCACATCTCACATCGCTATCAAATGGAACTTGGAGTCTCTTAAACTAAACATGGGTGAAGGACACTTCTGTAAAGCCCAAAAAGAAATCCGTATGGGCTAGACGAAAATGACAATGTCTACTCGAGTTGTTACATGTAACCTAAGGGCACATCTTAAGACAAAAGACGTGTAAAATATTTGCTTTTTGTAGTAATCAAGCGGCTTCATTTGATATTAGAAAACATGTTGCTATCATAGGAAACATTTTAAGTTAAATGTCTTTATTACCCTTATTATTATCATTAGCCAACTCACTTCAACCCTAACCCATATTCAAAAGACCATTAATGATAGTGAGTTAACTACCTGTTAAAGAAAGAGCTACGCGGCTCATATTTGTGTAATCCATTTAATAATAATGCAATATCCGTGGTGAGACATTTGAAATGAGTAATTAAATGAGTCGCATCTGAGCTGACTATAATTTCATTACTTCTCATTCGACAGGACACCAATTTGACAAGCCAACCTGTTTTGCCACCCCTAATTGGGACCATTTGGTAAACACTTAAACATATTCCTCCCTGCCTTGCTAGGGTAAGGTGGATCAGATTACCCCAACTAACCATTGTCATCCATAAATTATGCCCCAAGTTAAGACAATAAAGGAATAGATGTAGAAAAGAAAATTTTATACCAGTCACAACAATGCACCCAGCAGCATGATCCCAGATTTTCTCACGATATCCTTCGCGGGGAAAACGCATATAGATGGCTCCATCTCCTCTGGACAGAGCACCATATTTTACCTGGCTATCAATTCTAACTGGTGGTGCTTTCACACCAAGTTTCTGTTCATGAATATAGACTTCTAGTAAAACCAATCATATATAAAGCGGCAATATGGAAATTGACAGAGAGAGAGAGAGAGAGAGTACTTTGGCAATGGAGCTCGACAAGTCATGCTGGGAATGTGCTTTTTCATATGACTCAAAGAACGATGCTTCTTCAGAATTTTCAATGGCAGTGACTTGTACCTGAAGGACATAAAAAAGTTAAGTAATATTTATTTAGCTTAATAATACTTGCAACAGTGGTAACATAAGCACCAACCTTCACAGGTGAAGAACCATTCAGTGACTGCATATAAGTTCCTGCTCCAACTTCCGCATAGAAAAGGC